AGAGGGAAAATGTGAATTTTTTTTTTATGTATGTTGATATTTTAAAATAGTATAGATATGGATTAAAGAGGGGAAGCGTTGAGAAGTCCAAGTGTCTACTGAAAGAGAAAATTGGTAACTTTCACAATTATAATAATATTAATGAACTTATTAATTTAAAAAGACAATATTGTCATTCTTTAGTTTGTTAAGCCTAATTTAGTCAATCAAAAGTTTTACATATATCTTGACATTTAGAAGTAGTATAGATAAGGTCAGCAAGATATTGTACCTCTTTCTATCAAAAAAAAAATAATACATAATAGGTTACAAAGTTTTTGTGACAAAAATGACATTATTGCACTATACACATTGAAGTTGTTAATTTTATTTTTGAGAAATATGCTTGAATCAAAATAATGAGAATAGTTCTCGTATACTAGAATGCGAGGTAGAGATAGAGATTGGGAAAAAAAATAGAAAAAAGAAGATTGAGCTGATGTGAAAATGAATAAATAGAGTCGCCTTGATAGATAAATAAAAAGTTGCATAGTATCAAAACTTTATGACATCTTTTTTATGAAATTACATGTCATATTCATGCTATCGGAGTACTAGTTAATAGAACTCACTAATGATATAACTCACGTTGATTTGATATAAAAAAAATTAATAAATTTTTTTATAAGTTTAGTGTTGCTGAAAAATTCAATCTTTGAACTCAAACCATAATTGAAGCTCGGCTTCAACTCCAATGAGCTTGTATTTCATGAAACTCGCTTTTGAAGACCTTGATTTCAGCCACCAGTGCTTGACATTATGGTGGTGTCAAGCAATGTTGGTGACAATAGGTTTAAGTCACGTATGAATAATAATTTGTTTAGGGTTTTCCATGCTCACTTGAATTTGGGGTTCATTTAACTATTGAAATAAATGTAATGGATGATGTGAGTTGATTTATTATGTTGCACATCTTTTGTTTTTTTAAGTTTTCATCCTTTTTTTTTGTTTTCATTTTTTTGGGTATGTGTGAGAATTGCGTTATTAAGTTCGTTTAAACCAAACCTTGGTACTTATTGAATTAGGGATTTAGATTTTTGGTCAATTTGGGATCAAATAAAGTTGTTTGATGTTCTTTATGTTGACATGCATGTTTATTTTTTAGTAACTTAAGTTGGTACTTAATATAATAAAAATTTGACTTTTTCTAAAGTTGTTTTGTTGGATAGAAATTCTATATGGTTTTTTTTTGGTCATGTTACAAAGGATAAGCAGGGGATTAAGGATATAAAGTAAACATAAGTACTCACATGTTCAGACTTTAGTAAACATAGCTTCCTTGTGTACCACACTTAGGATCTTTGCCAGAGGATTGGCGAACCAGTACGTTGGCAACAATCCCTTCTAAGTAAATATTGTTGTAAAATGAACGAGGTTGTTCAAACCTCTTATAGGTTTGAATTTAATTGAAGGGAGCTTATTTGCATAAGCCCAGGTATCCTCTTGGATGTTTTCAACTTCCCTAAGTGGTTTTGCCCCACCAGAAGATAAGGATTCCATAAGAATCTTTGAATCTGTAACAACAATAACAACACCTAATCTATTTTCCATTGCTAATGCATAGGCCCTTCTCACTGCCCATGCTTCCACAGCTAGTGGGGAAGCTGTGTACATAGTCCCCGAAACCCCCTCTATCAGCATCCCTTTGTCATCTCTAGCAGCTGCTGAGTATGCACCTTTCTTGTCTTTGGAGATGAATGATCCATCACAGTTGATCTTCATACAGCCACTTGGTGGGGCATGCCACTTTGTTTCAGTCTAGGTAGTCAGGTACTGAGGTGTGGTCACAGGGTTTAGTATTGCCAAGAATTGATTTGTAGTTGTTAAAGCACTTAGGATGACAGCTTGAGGATCCAACACAGGATGGAGAAAATTTCACTCATTTCTAGCCTTCCAAATGTACCACAACAAGTATGCTATTTTGGTATTGTCTTCAATATTCCCTAGGTGGTCCATCAGCCAAGATTCTATCCTTGTGAATGAGCATTTTTCAATCAAATTCCCAATGGAGATTTGGCCAAACCTTTTTAACCCAACAGCATAAAGGGAACAAATGTTATGTTGTTTCTTCAGCTTCTCCACACACTAGGCATAAAGGGGCTATATAATCTTTCTTCTGTATAGGTTTCCACAAGTAGCAATAGATCCACTGGCTATCCTCTATATAAACAATTGGATCTCGGGTGGGACTTTAATGGACCATATTTTCTTCCATAAGCAATCTGGGGAAGGTATAAAGAGGAAGTTTTTTGTGGGTGCAGATAATCCATATTTTGTCTAACTTTGAAGTGGTATCCACTTCTAATAGAGTATCTACCATTGGTAGTATGCAATCATCTTACTCTATCCTCAGTAGGGTTTTCACTCAGTGGGATCAATAGTACCTCTTGTACAGCTTTTGGGGGAATAATATCTTTGATTATAACTTTGTTCCAGCTCCATGAGGGCGTCTGGATCAACTCTTGGACCATGGTAACATTACTTTACTTAGCATTCGTTAATCTCCTTTGGTCTGGGACCCAAGGATCATCCCAGCAATTGATTTGATTGCCATTTCCCACCTGCCATGTGCACCCCTCCCTATAAGTCTAATGTAACAAAGTATTTTGCTTTTAATACCCTTCCCCATAGAGAATTAGGTTCTTGGACCAACCTCCAAGCTTGCTTGGCTAATAAGGCTAAGTTGAATTTGTTTAGTTTTTTGAAGCCAAATCTCCATCTCATTTCATTCTTATGAGATGTTCCCATCTTTTCCAATGGATGCCTTTCTCACCTAAGCTCTTACTCCACAAAAATCTTGATATGGAGGCAATGGTGTCTTGGTTTAAGGAATTTGTGAGCTGAAAGACGCTCATCGCATAAGCAGGGATAACTTGTACCATAGATTTGATTCGAGTCTCTTTACTTGCATGATTAAGGAAGCGTTCTTTCCAGCCAGCAATGTTAGTTTGAATTTTCTCCTTGAACCATGCCATGGCTTCCTTTTTAGACCTCCCCCATTCAGTTGGAAGCCCGAAGTACTTGCCTGACCAAGGTGCAATTGGGACTCTTAGGATATTTGAAACCTCTGTTGAATGCTAATTGTGGTGTTGTTGCTAAAGATCATTGTAGATTTGTTTACGTTTACAATTTTTTTAGAGGCATAGCAATATCTATTTAGGCAGTCCTTCATAGTTAAACAGTCAACCATGCTTGCGCTAGAGAAGAAGATGGAGTCATTCGCAAAGAGAGGGTGTGAAAGTTTTGGTTCATTTCTGTTAATCTATATACCTTTCAGCCTATTAGAATGTAATGTCTTGTCAATCAACTTGGTTAAGCACTTAGTAATGAGGAGGAATAGATACGGGGAGAGGGGATCCCCTTGTCTAATCCCCTTGGTTGGTATAAATTTTGAAGACATTTTCCCATTTACCAAGATATTGTATCTCATTGTCGAGACACACTACATGACCAATCTCACCCATCTCAAATCAAAGCCCATTTTAAGTAATGTGTCCTTCAAGAATTCCCACTCGACCCTTTCATATGCCTTCACCATGTCTAGTTTTATTGCCATCTGATACACCTTAGTCTTCTTCCTCAATTTCATTCAATGCAAGACTTCTTAGGCAATGATGATATTATCCTGGGTCATTCTACCCACAATGAATGCAATTTGGTTTTGGGAAACCAAAAGGGGCATGTATTGTTTTAGCCTTGTAGCCATCAATTTGGAGCTTACCTTGTATATGAAGTTGCAGTAACTTATAGGCCTAAACTCCCTTACCTCATATGGGTGTTGAGTTTTCGGCACCAAGACTAGGTTAATATTATTAATTTCCTTTAGAAGGTAATCAAAGTGAAAGAAGGCTTGGACCGCAACAACTACATCATCCTTTAATATACTCTAATAATTCTAGTACAACAAACCAGATAAGCCATCTGAATCATGGGCTTTCAGGGACCCTATCTTGAACACTGTGTCCTTTATCTTTTCCATAGATGGGAGCCTCTATAAGTTTGAATTCATGAAAGGGGATACTGTCTGGGGGATGTTTTGCAGAGTTTAGGAATAATTTCTCTCAGCTTCTAAGAAAAATAGGCTATGAAAGTGGTCTTCAATAATTTTTTGTATCTAATCAGAATCAGTAGCCCACTCATTTTTCAAGGTCCTTAGCATAGCTATCTTGTTTCTCTGTCTTCTCTGAACTGTGGTAGCATGGAAAAACTTTGTGTTTCGATCTCCCCATTTGAGCTACTTCAACCTTAGTCTCTGCCCCTAGTACTTCTCTTCCTTTTGCCACGAATTACCTATCTCCCTGATAATGCCTTTGGACACATCTCTAAACCTATCAGTGTCAAGTGCATTATGTAGGTCCCCCAACATGTCTTTATGTTTTTCTATTTATCGTTTGTTTTTTCTGAATTTTGCAGAGCTCCAACTAGCTAGGTCCTAAGTACAACTTCTTAGTTTCTGTTTCAATTTGTACATCTTCGAGCCCTGGGGTTCTCCTCTCCAATTTTGTTGGACCACATCCTTGCATTGCTCATCTTCAATCCATGCAGCATCAAATCTAAATTGGCTCTTGGACTTACAAAAATATGGATCTGTATCAAGGACAAGGGGGAATGATCATAGCCATAAAACACTCCGATTAATACAACACTCGTCTATGTTTAAATCAGTGTCCTTCAACCATATTACACAAAGGCCCCTGGACAATCCATCTGGATCTACTACCACTTTATTATCAAATTTCAAATTCCTCCTCAATTTTTCTACTCTACACCTCTTCATTTTGATCTTAGTAAGACATGATACTTTGGGGCTTGTATAGGACACAAAGGTCCTTTAGAGCTAGAACTGTCAAAGTTGTCCCCAAACCTTGACAGTTCCAAGCTATGATTTTCATGGCAAATTTGGGGGCATGGTAAGACCAGCCTCCTCAGCCAATTTAGTAATCTCTGTAGACCATTCCACACTAATTTCTTGCAACTGCCATCCCATTCATTATCCCTATACTCACTACCTTCTTCTTTCTGTATCTCTTAATGGTCTGTCTTGTAATGTCAATAGGTACGTTACTCCAGTAGACCACTTTCCTAGTTTGAGATTGGTTCTCCTCCATCAGATCCCGACACACTATCTCCTTGGTTCCTTGTGTGATACATGGACCCAAGAGACCGGTATTGTTGCTGACTTCTTAGGTTAAGATAGAGGGCATCACTTTGAACATTCCATCCTCCTATCTTTGGACCTTTAGGGATCTTTTCTCACCTTGTTGTTCCTAAACCGTACGTTTAAAAGACATTCTGTGGAAAAATCTTGCCATGCAATGGTCTAGTATCTAGTTTTCTGGATGGGAATAGGCGGTAGATTTGTATTGGGAAACTTAAGGTCTTGGTTGTTATTGTTAGGAAAGCTTGATCTCAATGACAAGAGTGAGTGGGTTGTGTTTTGAGTTTGATTATGAATTAGGAGATGGTGAAGGGTTGGGTCTACTGGGTTTACTGAGTTATGGTCGTAAGCCAAGCAAGGCAGGGTAGTATTTGGGTCATGATGGGGTGGGCTGTGTATATTGGGTTTTCTGAGGTTTTTTAGGCCTAGATGATATTGGGGTTACATCTTGATGTGGGTGGGCTGGATAAATTGGGTTTTCTGAGTTTTGGTTGTAGGCCTGGCTAGGTAAGATAATTATTGGGCCTTTTTGGTATTGGGTTAAGTCTTGGTGGGTACGGGTTGGGTAAATTTTTTTTTTCTACATCGTGGTTGTGGGCCTGGCAATGTAGGTTAGTTTTTGTTGGGTTGGGGCTAGCTCAAGCTATGGACTAGGCTTTGGGTTTCTTAGGCCTATTGGACTTGTGTCACTAGGTTTCAAGTTTGGTTTGTTTGGTCTATTTGTTTTTGTGGTTATGGGTTTTGGGCTTGTAGGTTCCTTTGGTAATTCATGAAATTGAGGTTGAGACTCTTGTCTCTTATGCAATTCCATTAACGTGGCAGCTAGAACTAGGCTTCCACATGGAGAATGACACATGTACATATTAGAAAATGGTGCACTAACCTCATCCAGGTAATGTACCACCTTGTCTAGTGCCAGCTTGACCTCCTCAGTCATATTCACCTCCACAAGTGGAGTAGCATCATGCCCCTCATCTCTACTCGCATCCTTACTCACCTTATCTCTACTCACTTCTACATGCTTCTCATCTTTACTTGCCTCCTCTGGTGGTGTAGCAACACATGCCACCATCAACTCATTAGTTCTATTTTCAATAAGGTTCACGTTTTGGGTGACGTGGGTGAATGAGTTTTTCGATGGCGTAATAGAGGTTATCCGTTTCCAGTTGGAAGCTCTCATATTGGTCCAAACTTTCATGTAGGAGGAGATTCCATTGACATTCTGCAACTGACCTTCTTATTACCAATTCTTTTGCACAAGTAACAAAAAATCGCATAGGCGCTCATATCTCAACTCAACTCTTTGATCAGGTAAAAGGGGTCTAGGTAACCAGAAATGGGATGTAAGTGTTGGAACAAAAATCTCAAGAATCATTGACAACGTGTATATACCGAATACAAAAAATTTTCTATTAAAATCGAACAAGGAGGAACTAGGGCTTACCTTCGAGATCGCTTTGGATTGATCTCGTTTCAACATGAAGACAGACGCCTGAAGAACCTCACAATCTTCTGTCGTATATCCCCCAATGCCAAAATCCAGATGTAGCATGGGCTGTAAAGACCTCCGAACTTCTGTTCTCTCTCTCAGCCTCCCTCAAAACGTGAGTAATCAAGGTAATGCTGATTTAGAGAGTCCAAACATATATATGTAGGCTACGATAGAAACCCTACGGAGAAATAAGGGCTAGGTTTCCAATGGGTTTAGGATTCCTATTTTCAACATAGAACAAACATCCTATAATCCATTAATAATAAGTCATTTCACTAAAAACTTATTATTAATCTCTTGAGTCTTATCTCAAAATTATGTTTCGAACTCCTTATTATTATATGCTTAATAATCTCCATACGTTTAAGATTACAGATGTCATCAATTAAATAAATTACTGATAATTATATTTAATTGACTTCTTTTATTCCTTAAGACCTTACCACTCAACTTATTTGAAATGTCAGATAATTAAATCCACCTACAGAGTTTAACATGGACCAAACTTATGAGTTTCCTCAAGAGAGCATCATCACCCATTTAAATATAAGGACATGGTTTTCTTTAATAATTAATTTTTACCATACAAATAATATCGTCTCCCAATTCACTGAGCTTATTGACTCAGTATGAATCTCACTCTTTAATGAATTAAAGTGACAATCATTATATGCACGTGACAATTAAATATTTCAGGATTAAGAGTATAAGAAATCATAATAATCATGAAATATTTATTATCTTATTCAATCAGTAAAAGATAATAACCTTAACATGAGTCTGTTCAATACACAAAATGTACTAGTACATTAATCTGAGACATCAAACAGTCTCCTACAGTCATGACAGACTATGTTAGAATATTATATTACAATAATACTATTGGTGTGTCCAATTCTATCTAAGATTGTGAACATATATTCATATTATACAAGGATCCGATAATCTAGTCTTATGTGTATAAACCAAACTCTACACATCAAATTATCTACAATGTAATATATAAGACACAGATGCATACAATATGTCAAACATAGTGCAAATATTTTGCCCACATAGATTCTAAATAAAATGGAAAAACCAAACTTCTATCAATTAATAAAATGAGTTTTACTACAAAAATAAGCTTTTAGTAGATAGCCCTATCAGCAAGGGCTTTTGTAATATTTACCTAGACCCTTATTTGGATGTAGTTCTTCCAAACATTCCTTTGGGTGAGTTTGCTATTAATCGGTGAGGGTTCACCCAAGGGTCCTAGCTATGATGGTTGCATTTTCCTCTGTAATCAACTCAGGTGGTAATCCATGAGCTTGAATATAGAAAGGAGAGGTATTGAAGGAGACTTACAAAATCAACTTGCTTGGATCCCATTCTTTCAGAACCAATAGTTTCCCTTTGATGGACCATGGGCATGAATCCAATATCCTTCATTTGTGGCTAATGCTAGAGAAGATGAAAATAAATGTCTCCTGGTCCCCATCTTTGATTTCCAACTGGCTATCGAAATTCCAAACTCTATACACTATATCCTTCATCACTCTTCTATTCAGGGGTCTATCAGTGATAATCTTACCTAGCAAACAAGCATGAGAGACAAACTCCGATAAGGTTTTATCCAAATGGAGGTTGATTGTGGGGGCTATATGATTTCCCGGCTGTATGTTCAGTACGGTTTGTATAGATGAAGAAGAAGCTAGGTTATTTTGGTAGTAGTCTTCTTGGCTAGACATGAGGTCAAGAAAGATACAAAAGCTTTTAGGATATAAATGCTAATAAGATGTTGAGTTCTCTCTAAATGCTAATAAGAGAAAGGGTGAGCAAATTATCGTACAAGATGTTGCAGAATCTTATAAGCAAAGACATACCTTATTCGCTTTAACAAAAAAAAATCATTTGAGAATGTTTCATGTATTTTAGAATCGAAATCAATGTTTTTTCCTTAATTGCTCGAGCAATATGGTATTGCTACATAAGACAAATCAACACCAGGTTTTCCACAGCACAAAAGCCTTACAAATGTTATGTAAAATAGAGAAATAGAGTAGGAGACTTTAACGTTTGATTAATTATCAAAGATGTCACATATATTGGATTGCCTTGGGTTTACATAGGCAACCAATATGTGTCATTACGAGACACATCTTATAGGGACATATCTATTAATATTTAAAAGATTTGTATTTTGGGTGGTAAAGGACACCTCCAAAAGATATACCCCTTTGGGCATTCTTTAATTTGGGTCAACCCACCATGAGAACCTCGTTCAGGTCCATGACCCAACCAATATCTAACATCTCTCACTCGCACATGGTGAACATGACACTATCATCTCTCTTAATCCATTATAAACATCAACGTCAATTCATACAGGCTAATGGGTCGTGCGACTGCTGAGAACACTTGCAATTTGGGAGCTCTACACTAGAAACTCTATAGAGCCAGTATAGAGACATCAACCCTAAGAGACATGAAATGTTGTCTCAAGTACTCTAGACCCATTCGGATACACCGATTCAAGCATCTCTAATCCCTCACAATATAAGAGCATGCATAACCCCTCGAAGCTTTCGTCTATACATTCACACTTTGTTACTATCTAAACTAGTGCCCAAAGTTGTCGATAGTGAATATATCACAGGATGTTCCAAATGGTCTTCCTTTCACCCTCATGTCACTTAGTTCAAAATTAACCGTTTTCCCAGCAATGTCCCAGAAGGCCGAATCATTCATGGCCGTAAGTAACATGCCACAGTAGCTGAGCATTAATTCTTTCACTTTATAACATAGTCAAAAGTCAGAGAGTACATAAAATATTTGGTTATACAAAATAACTTGGTCATAAAAAAATGACTTGGAGGGCTCACACAGTGAGGAAGCAGGGATCCATTCCTTCACCTCCTTAATTGTCGCCAAGCACACGTAGTATGCAATACATGCTACGGTGGAGTGTCTCGTTCCTAATGAGAGCATATGCTATACTCAGACACCGTACAGAACTTAGTCTAGTCGCTCGACAAGCGTCTAACTCGAGTTCTCTATTTGCTCGCCCTCCAAAGGTACCAAATTAAGATCTCGCATTTGACTAATCAATAAACACAGGCATAATGGACATGGAGTTGTGTCCATTATCGATCCTCAAATGTCATATCTCATTTTGTATACAAAACATAGTGATACTATATGCTAAAGTATTTTAGCTTTGCTTGCCATCTCAAGCGCCAAAGGCGATTGCTTGTGTGAGTGAGCCAATCACGCCCGCTGACATACTTAATGTGTGTGCTTTCTCAAATACCAAGGTAATTAAGCAATATAATAATTAATTGCAAATAAAATCATGTATTAATATCCCAAAAAATTTCAATACAAATGATTGTGTGATCCATACAATCTATAGCACAATCCTAGAGTTTTAACATGAGCCACATACACATCTCTAGCTATAAGCTTAGTTAGGGGGTTTGCAACCTTCTGAGTTGTAGGTATGTGCTTCAAGATTACTTTTTTTTTTGTGCAATTATGTCTCTGATGTTATGATATCTTAGATCTATGCGTTTGGTTATTCCATGATACTTAGGATCCTTAGCATAAGCTAATGCAGCCATGTTATTACAATGAATTGTCACTAGGCCGAAGATATGTGTAACAACTCCTAGATGTTAAAGGAACCTTCTTAACCAAACAATTTCTTGTACAACAGCAAAACAAGCCACGTATTTTGCTTCCAAGGTGGATAAGGATATGCATGATTGCTTTTTGCTATTCTATGTAATGACCCCATCATTAAGTACGAAAACATATCCCGATGTGGACTTGTGTTCATCTATATCACCACCCCAATCAGCATCACTATAACCAACCATCTGTAAATATGGAGACTGGTAGCATAACATATAATCTTAAGTCCCCTTGAGATATCGTAGTATCCTTTTGATTGCCTTCCAATGAGTTATTCTAAGATTTGACTGAAAACGACTAACTAGGCCTACCACATAGCAAATATCGGGACAAGTACACATCATAGCGTACATTAAGCTAGCACTAACATAAGGGACACGAGCCATCCTTTCCTTTTCCTCAAGAGTCTTAGGGCACATCTTTAGGCTTAGGCTCTTGTCTTTCGCTACATGAGTGTCTATGGGTTTGTAGTTCTGCATCTGGAATCGTTCAAGAACCTTCTTAATGTAAGTCTCTTGAGACAAACCAAGAAGTTACTTAGAATGATCCCTTAGGATCTTAACTCCAAGTACATAACTTGCTTCGCCCAAGTCCTTCATCTCAAATGTTGAGGACAACCACTTTTGAGTGGTGATAATCATCTCCTTATTATTTTTAGCCAAAAAAATCGTCAACATACAAAGATAGAATCAAGTAGCTATCTTTAAACCGTTTAACATACACACAATAGTCTTCATCGATCATCATAAACTCATTAGAAGTAATAGCTCGATGAAACCTTAGATACTACTGTCTCGATAACTACTTTATGTCATAAATGGATCGTTGGAGTTTACAAACTTTGTTCTCCTGACCCACCACCACGAAGCTCTTAGGTTGATCCATGTAGATCTCATCTAATTCTCCATCAAGAAATGCAGTTTTAACGTCCATTGGATATAGTTCTAAATTCAAATGTGTGACAATAGCTAGAATCATGCGAATCGAGGCAAACCTTACAACTAGAGAAAAATGTTTCCTCATAGTCCACA